TCGAAACTTAACTGTGTATATTACCTGTGCCTGTATCTGTGCGTGTTCTCTCTCTGTGTGTGTGTATGGTATGTAGACGTGTGTAGCGTGTACGTGTGTCTGATCAATTGTTTCTCGTTTTAACCTTAACCTCCCTTCCTTCAATTACCTCCCATTTTAACGAATACATCCATTACAGATTATTGGAAAACTATGCGTAATTCTTATTCTTTTTTTTTTTTTGGTTTGTTTCCTCGCTTACAAAGTGTTTCATTACAATCGTATTGTAATCGTATAATACTATATGTTTTTTGTTTTGTGTATCTGAATGTATGCTCTATCAATACATATATCCCGTCGTTCCACTCTTCAACCCCTCTTTCCATCTTCAACCCCTCTCTTTCTTTTCACGACTCGTTCTTCCCCCTCCCACTCTTGTCTCCAGCCGTCGTGCGTCGATTAAAAAATCTCGCTCTATTCCATTCTTCTTTTCCCTTTCTTTTTTTTTTTTAGTTTTTCTATAAGAGTATACATCGTGTGTTTGATTCTTCGCTGAGCCTCTCGTCTCTCAAGGCGAGATCCATTTGATTCGCAACTTATTGCAACGCTTTCTCCTCCTCGTCCCCTGTCGAACCCTCTCTGTCCCGCTCCCCGCGCGTTCGTCGCGACGCCCCGAGACGTCGAGACCGTCACACGTAGAAATCATCTTTTCCCGGTCGAATCGAAGCGATTTCATGGTGATTTTCGAGCTCGTCCCGTTCGATTACAAAGATTAGAAAAATAATCGGTTGTCGAGTCCACGTCGTCTGGAGGCGATCGCGACCCCCTAACCTGTGTCCACTAGTCGTCTCTCCTCGACAGAATCGATCGAATCATTCGCCTTTTATTTTACGAAAAACGACAGCGGTGTAACGAATGATCCAACCACGGTTTTGGGAACTCCAACCGATGGACTTCGATTCTGTCATTTTCCAAGCGAAAGTCGCGATTTCTTTCGATCATTCCCTTCATCGACCTTTTCTCTCGTTCTGTTTCTCTCTCTTTCTTTAACAATAGCAGGTACTAGCATAGCTACCACAGTCGTACGTATCGTTAATAGTTACAATTAAGTTTAGATATTACTAAAGGGTACTGCTTCTCCTGTCTCGTCCCCTCTCGTCTTTGCTACCGGACCATCTCTTTACCCCCTTTCTACCCTTATTAGTTCCGCAGTTTAAAAACTTGTTTAGCACCCCTCGCGCGGCCGAAGACCATTTTTCATTGTCGACTGGCTGACCTACCGGCCTCGTTCGAGCGATCTTTCTTCAATTTCCCGCCTAATAAATTGTCTAATCGATAGTGTCCGATCCATACATCGACATGGATCTTACGTGATCCGATGGGACGCATTTGCCAAACCGAATTTTTCGTCGAGGGTGTCCGAAAGCTTCCCAATGACGCGAAGCTCCGAATCGATTTGAACACACCGGGAGGACACCCTAAAAGAAAAAAAAAAAAAAAAAAAAAAAAAATATTAAACGATCCTCGAATCAGGGATCCGGACCGTGTCGATACCAGCCTCGATCCATCGCGCATTTTCGACCGCGATCCGTCCGTCGATCGCAGTGCCAGCAGTTTAGGAGGCTGCTGTGTGTCGATCGTATACAAAACGGGCTATATAAAAATTCGTACGAAAGAACGATTAACGGTCACGCCTAAAAATTATGCTACGCACTTATACACGATACAAAAATTCACGCTAAGGTTAGAAAGTATGTCCTAAAGGAGAGAGAACGCGACGGATCAAGTTGGCGAATCGACGCACAAGGGAAAACCATCGTCGTTTTGCGTTCACCGCCGGAAATCACCGGTTCGGATTCTGCGAGCTCGTCGACCGGTCCACGACCGCGCCTATTCCGTACGTTTTGTCCCACGACGACAAGATAAACACCTTTTCTTTTTAATACTTTTAGCACCTAGTGCCCGGCCCGCGGCTCACGGCACCTCCGCCGCCATTGCAGCCTTTCTGTTCCCTCCACCTCGACGGACAGATATTCGATCGATCCTCGATTCGTGAAATTTCTACGATCAATCGAGGAGAATTTTTTTAGGAAAGTTAGCTCAAGTTTCGGGAAAATCATTCGTCCGTGATATACTCGAGGTGCATGTCGGGGAGTTGCTCGAACGATCATTGGAAAACGAGATTCTGGTGGGTTTTTATGATTTCGATGGAGCATTTTGATGTAAGTTCAGATTTCGGTCTGCATCTTACGTGAACAGTTTTATGTAACTTTTACCATCCGTTGGTGGGCAATAAAACATTCTGGCAGATTTAGTGTCGAATCACTAGAATGTAATAGATTGCAGCAGGAACAAAAGAAATATTCATTGGAAAGAGGTTGAAAATCCTGTGAAACAGGACATTATTTGAAAAACCGAAACTATTATGTTACCGAATAAAATAACAAAGAAAAAGAATAGAAAATAAAATAGATTTTCATCACAATAATTTTCTGTAAAATCCCTCCTTTTGCCTTCTGTAAGTTGAATTCGATTTAAAATTTTCAATACAAGTTCCCAATTTCTATTGAACATTTGACTTTTGCATCGTTTCTTTCAGATCACCTAACATAATTTTTCACGTGTATCGAAGTCTTTTGACGTATAAAACAATTAATATAAATCAAAGAATCGTTCAGCATTCCCCGCATAGATCCCCAAAACCGGATCAACTTCAATCATTTAGAGATGTTGAACGCCACGGCGTTCCATCCGTCAAGGCAAGCAATGGCGGTCATTAATAACGTAATCATCTAATTAATCTCGCGAACGCAGACTGATTGCGGGCTCCTCCTCGCGCGAACCGTGTCACACTCGGACATTTCCCTCGAACGCTCCAGATTCCTCGCGCGGACGATGATCCCCGCACTCCCCACCCCCCAAAGAACGTTGGAGCTATCCGGGAAATCACCGTGTCTAGAAGAAACGACGCGGAAGTTCGGACGGGCAGCCTCGGGGATCGATGGGACAGCGAGAAATTGAAGCTCGCCCGGTTCGATAGCACGAAATTAGGAAAGTTTCGCTGACACTACGGGAACTTCGACAAGCCGTGTGGATGTTGCTCCGATAGCTTTGAGCTGGGGTTTGGAATCCGCCATCTTAAATCCGCTTCGAACAGCCAAGAGACGGGCAAAATTAATAGAAAGATCGTTACTACTTGTGTTTCTCATTTATACGGCGAACAAACGGGAGACTTTCAGTTACTATGCTCCTCCAGTAATCAAAGTGACTCGTTCAAATTGTTTAAACAAGTTCGACATTTGTGAAACAACTTTCGTTTTGAAGATGCCCAGAATTTTGAAGATTAATGCGAACTGCAGATTTTATGGACTCGCGGAAGATGCTAACGAAATAGAAAGTTTAATAGAGTCTGATGAAGTCTCGATTTCATTCTTTAGCTCCCATCGAAAGAACTGGACAGCCATTTAATATATGTCCTCGTACATTATTGTGTAAAGTTATCAGTACTCGCGTAAATATACTACTCTCAATTTAAAGCAAAAAGTCTGCCCATCTCTGTCGGATTGAAGTTGGTCTGGAGTGTCCAGGTCGTTCAGAGGAGTCGCAACGCAGCCATTATCGTTCTTCCTACGAACACACCGCCAATTCTCATTCCCCTCTACGCTCCTCCACCTCGTTTCCTTCCCTACGCTCTACTGCATTTATTATAAAAATAAAATGTAAAATCGTACCGAGGACGAGTTATCCGAACGGCATGGAACTGCGTGTTTCAGCGGCACGATCCGACAAGAGCATAGAAGATCATCCCCCTCGTGATGAAGGGGGAGGGGTGGGGGGGTGTCGCTGGGATGTTACCGATTCTCGTCCCCCTTTTTTTTTTCGCGCGATCGCTCAAGAGAGACCTGTGCTCGTTTTGTCTCCGCTGGTCCTGGTCCTGGTTCCGAAGGGAACGAGTCGTCGTCTCACCTCCCCCCAACCCAATTAACGCCACCGTCGTCGCCGCGTCGTAACGTCTCTTTCGATCACAAGTAGTTCCGAACCGTTTCGCGAGAACCCGTGAAGTGAGTGCATATTCTTGAATATAATACATAGGCTCTACAGATATATTCATTATCAATTCTTCGACTATACCAGTGAAAAAATAAATTATTACACGTTGGTAATATCTGTGTACGTGTTGGTGAAAGTCGTGCGCCGAAAGTGTCCAGCCTGTCCCACGGGGGCCAGCGATGTGTGCTCCATCCCCCGGGGGGTGGGGTTGTCTCTGTGTACATATGGTATCATAGTGTGTGTTTCGCCAGGTAGATGGGTGCGACGGTGTTTTGTTGTCTCTGCGTGTTGTGGATCTGGGCTGTGTATGTATGCGTATACATATGTGTGTGTGTGTGTGTGTGGGTTGTCACGTGTATGTACTCTTGGCGTTTGAACGTTGTCCCCAGGTGTGGTGACACGTCGTTCGATTTCTCATGTGCCAGAACGATAAATGACCTGATCGTGGCTGATCTCTAGGGTGACCACGGAGGCGGGCGCGATCGCAATCGGGTCCGTGATCGTTAGTTTTTCACGGTGATGAACGTTAATAACACACGCGGGCTGTGTACGTTAGTCGATCGCTTGTGTTCACGTGTTCCGCGAGGTCTCCCAAAAATTCGCTCGAGTCTCAGTTGTCCTTTCCTCTTCGTTCTACTTCTCCATCCCGTAAACGCGTCCGCGCGAACTCACGCTTCGGCACACAGGCGCACAGAACTGTATATAGAATCCGTGTACACGCTCTTTCACACGCTTTCTCTCTTTATCTTTCACTCATTCTCTTTCTCACAAATCCGCTCGCATCTTCGTCGCCCTCCTATCTAGCTTCATCCGTTGCTACCGATGTCCATAAATTCAGCTCGAAGGCGGCTCCTCGTCCCTGTGTATCCTTTTCGCGTGTAGTCCTTTTCGGATCAGACTTCGCGAGAATCATTAAAAACGATCGACTGAGTGTGTAATCGAGTAGTCGACGAGACCACCCTTGTGGGGGGGGGGATGTGGGTATAGTGCTACTGGTGGCGTTGATTTTGTGGATACCTCTGGAGAGAGACAGAGTCTGGGCTGGAGATCGGGGAACTAGAGTGAACAGCGGGAGAGTCGGCTCCACTGGGCTCGAGAAGCCGTCGGATCGGATGGTGCAAGCGGATCAGGTATGTCGGGGGAGTGGTTTGGGTTACGGAAACTAGTCTCTGGACGACGTCTCGACACGCTGGAGAGACTGGAAAAAGCGTTCTCGTCTCTCTGATTCTTCTCTCCCTCCTGTCTGGCAAAGCGGTAGTAACAGCAGCGTCAAGGACGAGTCGCGACTCTGAGCCGCGAGACTCTCTCGGCTTCGATACGCGCGGGGTATTAGTTGGCCACGAGAAGATGCTGGTACTGGCTGGCCGGATATGACGCCACGGAGCCGAGGCCGAAGTTGTTCAGACCGTCGGCCAACGCGGTCTTGTCCTGTTGCTGAGCGGACGCTGCGTTCACGTTGCTGGTCGTTGCGGTGGAACCAAAAGGGCCCAAGTTGGCGGCGCTCTGCGTGTTCCCGGTGCTGCCGGCCGCGCTGCTAGTGCCGTTCACGCTGCTTCCGTAGAACTGATGGCCGGCGACCGTCGTCGGATCGAGATAAGAGGATGGGAAGTTTGCCCCTGTGTAGAGATCGGCGGACAGGTAGCCACCGTGGCTAGACGACTCGAAGATGCTGCGATGTGGGAACTGAGGATGATACGCGGCTGGTCCGTGCTGGAAGAAGTACGCGCTCGGATCCGTGTGCTGTTGACCGCCACCCGCGACTATGCTTCCCGGTGACAGGCTGCGGCTGCGCGGAGAGCTCGGTGACACAGGCAAACCACCCGTGGCCGCCTGTTGTTGTTGCTGTTGCTGCTGTTGTTGCTGCTGTTGCTGTTGCTGATGATGATGGTGATGGTGGATCTGTTGCTGCATGGCACGCTGCTTGATGTAGTTCGAGAACTCGGTTGGGGACATTCTGGAAGCAAAGTAATTCGGGACGTATCGTCAGTCTGCTTTTGGGTGTCGAGGTTAGAAACGACTGATGACAAGCAACATGATCATCTTCCGAATCAACATTTATAAAATTTTGTTTTTCTTTTTATTTAGGTCATGTCTCGTCCAGTTACGATGAAGCAGAACCTCTATATACAAATTGTTTCCGTCCCTAGACAGATGCAGGATTTAGAAACCGATCGGCTGAACACGTCATTACCATTCACTCTAACACCTAACCGGTCGACGGATTTTTTAATCCAACCATCCGGGAACCCGTCCGTCACCGATCACTCGATACCCCAGAGTCAGACTACTCTACCTTGCGCAATCGCGAACGAAAGCAAGGCCGCGTGGTCGATCAGTTACCAACCTGTTGGCTCGTTTGCTGCTGGTTTTCAGCTTGGTGCTGCCGAACTTGGTTTGCGCGAACGTTGCGGTGGTGAAAGTAAGCGGCGCTGTGGTGCGCGGGATGAAAGCCGGAACGGGGCTCGGCGAGCCCTTGAACGAGCTGGTGATGGGCGTCGGCGATGGCGCTGACGAGGAGCCGGAACCGTGACCGCTTTGCTGATTGTTCGAGGATCCGTTGCTGGTGTTGCTGCCCAACGAGCTTGGGAACGGCGACGTGGACTTTGGACTGAGGCTCAGCCCTCCAAGCGACGTGCCCACGGCCTCTATTGGCCTGAAGCATTGAGCCTCCGGATTAAAGGTCTTGGTGACCTCGCGATCCGCCGAGCTCTCGTCGTGAGGGTCTCCGGTCTCGGAATAGAGGATTTTCACCGCGTTCATCTCGCCGATCCGGTAGCTCACCTCACCAGGATCCACCCAAACGGCCAGCTCAGTCGGAAGGTTCTCTAGGATGTCCTGAATTGGGACACCGCTCTCTTTCGCCGCGCGCTCCAACACAGGGTCCACGGGATCGCCGGTCTTCAGACATCTGAACGCCGATCCCTTCACCGGTTTATCCGGGTACCAGTGACCCTTGAATTTATCCTTGAGCGCCTTCTCGAGCTCCTCGCCGAAGATGTTCACCCGTCTGCGAGGTAGCTTGTTATAGAGGTACGATATCACGAAGTTGAGCGCCACCTGCACCTCGATGTGCATTTTGCCCTTTGCTGGGAGAATCTTCGGGCTGTTGCTGGTCGTGGCAACCGCGGAATATCACCGAGGGCGCTCACACGATCGGCCGTCTTGCCACGAGCACCCGATTGTCCGGGGGATATGGCCAGTGGGCGACACCGAGGAGCTGGCTGTCAGAGCAGCTCGGACTTTCGGGAGTCAGGCTAACTTACGATCGGATCTCTGAACCTGTAACACAGAAGATGACGTTGCTGGTTAGATGACGGTATTTGAAGACTTGTTTTCTAGTTTTGGAGAGTTTATATGCATATATATGTACACTACCAGTCACAGTTAACGATAGAATGAACCGTTCGTTTATAAAAAGAATATAAGTTATTTATGCTCAGTTGTGTTGCATTAGTTGCTTATATATTGTTTGGTCGGAAGTGTGAACACGGTTTTGAGTAATCAATAGTACGTCAAATTTCTTCGATGGAACGATTCAATCCACTAACCAAACCTACTAATTGACCCTTGCACGGTGGAGTATGGGACAATTTTGACAAAGGATTTCAGACACTTTACATAGTATTTCAGCCAACAGAAACTAACTGAACCATACTTGTTTATATTAGCACTTCATAAGACCAGTATATCTTTCAGAAATTCGTTCCAAAACACATTTGAGGCCAATTGAGCAAGTGGTCTATCTAGACCATAGGTACCGCTGTACATTTCAACATCAAAATCATCCTTCATATGATTAATGGAATAACGTCTTATGCAGAAAGAACAATACATCAATCGCAGTAATTTTAAGTTAAGACTTTTAAGTTTCAGTGCTTATCGGTAAGAAGTCCCTTAATTTACCCTTAGATTAGGGTTAAAGAAGAAATTATTACATTCTTCTATTATTAACTATTCAATAATAGTTTCTTGGCTGTTAATCGTTGGATCTACTAAACCTATTAAACAGCAGCCGGCAGGTAATGTTTCAACACGACATAAAGGAAGAAGAAATAAGTACAAACTGATATCGATATGTATTTTTGAAATAAATTTTAAAACTTGCTCTCATTTCAAATATCATTTTGCATAAACTTAGTCGACATACTTCAGCCCATTATGTACTACAATATACCCAACAAGTGTATTATTATTGTTATTATTTTGAATAAACTTTACGTCGTCATTACCATGGAAAAGAGAAATAGTTCGACAAAGGTGGTCAGAATAAAAATTCCGCGAATCACGCACACAAAGACGCCCTATCGTTATTCGGAGAGGCTCTCACTTTCTCCTTCTCTCTCTCACAGAGTGCGGAATCACATTAAAAGACGCCCGTAGAGTGTCTTCGAAAAGCATTTACTTTTATTCGGAGCCAGTGTTATCGGCTCCTTTCACGATCCCGCATTGAAACGGAACGCCGCTTCTGGTTACTCGGGGAGTGGTGCTCCGCCTTCGGTAGTTGCCCTTCCGAAGAACTCGAACGGGAGCCAATCGTTTTCGACGTATTCGCGACGGTATAATAATGCCTTCTCGGGCTTCCGGCACTCTTCAACAGGAAGCTCTTATCCGCACCTTCGGGTACCCGCGTTTTATTTCCCCGATAATTTGAAACTCGATTATGCACCGCATAGATCGCAAATCCTGGTAGCGTCGAATCTATACGCAGACTTACACTTTACGGTATACAGTGGGCGATCAAATTCTTAGTCACCTGCATAAATTCGTGTTCTTACGATTTTAACTGTATTTATTTCTTATAATTATGTACGTTCATTGTCGATTTTCGTTAGTGTATTTCTAGCGGGCAGTTGTTAATTAAGAATTATCCTGTGTAAAAACCTTGGTACTGCGATTTTTTTTCTATGCGAATACAAAGAAGATATTTTTTGTATGGCGGCTGTAATAATTCGATCGTCAACTGTATAACGAGTTTCGAGTTTTCTCAGAATTTATTTGAGGTTTGCAAAAGTCTGCATTGAAAATTTTGAAAAATATACAGCGTGTCCCGTGTGAGTGTCGCCACGAAATTTCGGGACTTTTCTTGAACTATTGCAGAAAATTGGTTGATAAAAGTTGAACTATATTTAAATGTGCGTTACATTGATCTTAAATTCAGATCTTACTTAAAAAAAACTGTATAAATAATACAGGACAACTCCATAAGTTATGTACAAGTGGGCACAAAGTGATTCTACGTGAAAGAATAAGTCGAAAATATAGGATAACATTTATTCATTTAAGATTTTGTTTTCGAGAAAATCGACTTTAAACATAAATCTGAAACGCCTGTATTCGTCATCGTAGTAAGTAAAAACGGAATGCAATGAACAGACGAACTAGCCAAGTCTTATTCAATTGCACGTGTATCCAGAATTTTTTGAAAATTTTATTTTCTCGTAAACAAAGACTTAAATAAAAAAATGTTATTCTATATTTTTTTCTGATCTTTTTATGAGGAATTACCTTATGGCCGCTGTACATAATTAAAGGTACTAACCCTCATATAAAGATGATTGGGCAATTTATTTAGTATGCTGCGATATTTTGAGGAACGAGGATGTATCTAACGAATGAACAAAAATGTATATATAAATGATTCTTTTGTAGAATTCTTGAAAAATTCTTGTAAATGACTGAAAGTTTTATACAGTATGTATAGTGTCTAATACGGGTCACGTGTGACTCTGCCATCGGTTTTCACGCTAGAACTACCACAGCAGTCAAAATGACTGGTCAGTATATTCTTATAACGGCGATTAAAATCTTACGACAATGCGTTTTCTCAGATGTTTCACAACGTTTATTGCAATATGAAAGTGAAGAAATTATATTTTTAACAAATTTCTCATTTTTATCCACCCGATAGAAATAGTATACGTTTATCATCGGTAGTTCTAGTGTTAAAAGATTTTAAATTACCGAGTACGAAGTTCTAAAGAATCGTACGTCGAGTCTCCAAAGAAATCCATAATCGGAACAGAATCAGCCGCCATTACGGGTTAACTTTCGCGAAGTCCTCGTTTCCGGCCAATGAAGCGGATAAAACTCTCGAAAACCGTCGTCAAAGGTGCTCTGTTGAGCGTTCGAACAATTCAAAAACGCGTCTTCGCGAGTGCTCGTAACTGCGAGAGAGGAATATTCAGCTGCCTACCGCGATTACCGTGAAACGAACGGCAATAAAATAGATTGGCCGTAGCGGTGTGGGGCGAGTGGCCATTTTATACGAAGGCATCTTGTCGCGACTGCGGAAGTTGCTCCCTGAACCCCCGAATGACATCGAGAGGGAAAGGCTTTTCTTTACTTTTCCCCTTGCTACGTTGCTCGCCCCCCGCTGTTTTCTCGATTTTTTTTCTCTTTTCACATCCACTTCACTTCTCCCCATTTTCCTTCGTATCCTAGCTCCGTGAAACCCCAGCTTTCTTCATCTCGACACTCCCAGTGTCCCTAACACACCGTCCAAGGATTCCTCCATTCTTTTTCACGAGTCAAGGGTTCCTAGGCGACCACAGCGAGGCACCCTGGGTATAACCGGCTCCCCGGAACTCAATTCCGTCCTGTTTCTCCCTTTTTCGCCGTGATCTTCCGAGAAAAGGGTAGAGACGAAGGGTGTACGAGGGGGAAACCGAGACGAGCCTGAGCTTCCGAGGAGTTCACTGGACCAGCAGCCATTTTGTAACGGGATACGAGAGGACATACCGGCTCAAGGTGTTCTTTTTTTTTTCTCTCTACGCCCTGTTTTCTCTCTCCCGGCTTCGTACCCTTTTCTCGACCAAATACTGCAGCAGACAACGCGGTCACGGGTATTTTTCAATTACGCGACTGCCGGGGCTACCTTTGCGGCCGGACTGCGGCTCGTTCGCACCACCGCGGCTGTGGTTCCAGCGTGGAGAAATATTTTTCGAGTCTTGTTATCTCGTCCCGGGAATAAATTGTAGGTAATATACTAATTCGAGGATCGAGGAAATCTCTACAGCGTGGGATTAGATCCAGGAGTTACTGAGAGATTGGGACAGGGTATAAAGATCCTATTGGGTGTTGGGTCGATCGAGAGAATATTGTATTAATTTGAAAACAAGTTACTTTATTAAAAGAATTGTATATGGTATTAGATATATCGACAATTAATCTATTATTTTGTATAAATTGCAGTGTTTGCTCGGAAAAATCAAATATTTATGCTACTTTAACAGTATATGCTATTTGACATCAACATAATACACACATATGTCGGTTTGACTGAACGTGAAACTGGAAAAGTATTCTGAATTTAAATTCAACTATACCCTTACTGCAACCATTATTTATTGGTATATCTAATACTTCCACGAAGACTGATAAATATTAAAATAATAAGGATTCATTTCAAAATGTTTTCTACTATATTTAGAGACCTTTGATTTCTGTCTTAAAATGTACATTCAGTAAATGCTCGATAAATCTATTATTTTTTATCTATTATTGAAACCTCCTTGGCACTGAGAAGGAGATGTTTCCAGGTGTAACGCTGACTTTTTAATAAGGTTTAGCAGAGTGATAGAGCTTGGAATTCTCAAGTGAGTTATATTTATTTCAGCCGCATATGGCTATTAGCTTATGAAATATTTAATGTTCAGTGCCCCGAGAAGCCTTCGAACACTCATCGAGGATCTACTGTATATGGAATCATGAAGAACTAAAGATACCTTACTTGTTATCAACATATCGTAATCAATAAATAACTATTTACAATGTATATAGTAATTGGAACTATCCCTCATGATTTTTCGAACTGCAATTCATATAACGTTGAAATTATCTTTTTCAGAGGCAGTATGTGCATAAGGACATAAAATTAATAAAGTCTCTTCTTCGAGTGGCTGAAATTTATCCGAACAACTATTTATTCATATACATAGTTTTATACTGTACAGCATAATACATAGTACATTATATAAAATGGGGGTTATATATAACTCTATATAAATAACAACCTGTCGTGGAAGTAATGTAAAGTCCACTGAAGGATCGAAAAAAATTTCCCTTTGCTTAGTAGAATAATCCAAGCTGATC